AGCCCCGACTGCACCCAGCGTGAGGACGTCCTAAAACCACGGGAAAGGGGGGTTAGAGCGCGTCACCTCTAAAGCGTGAGAGTTCAGCAAAGGCACAGCGTGGGGACACACTGTCCAGGTTTAAGGGGGGAACTCAGCACGTGAGGTGAGATCATACACACGTGTTGACATATCTCAGAGTTGTTTGAACATGTTTGTGCTGGAGGGCAAGCCCCGCCCATGGGCTACGCTAGCTTGGGCTCTACTGAGTATGGCATTATATGGATTAATCTTTCTAAGGAGCTATAATCAGGGGAGCGCGTGGCCATATTCCAATTTCCATTCAAAGGCCCACATTGCAAACGCTGAACAGTTAGAGGGAGCCTCTCGCCTCAGGGATTCATGAGAGAAGCTCATGGTTGGGTATGAGGCAGCTGAGAGGTGGGGAACGATGCTGATAGAGGAAGGAGGTAGGGGCCACTGGCTGCTAACACGCCCCCATCGTGGGAGGCCCTATCCAGACCCTTCTATTTTCAGCTTTCCTCTTGACTCCTTCTCAAATGTTCCTCCATCATTTCTCTCCTGTCCCACCTACTTGACAATAGCAGAGGTGCAAACGGTGCCGTAGCTGTGACAGTGGATCCAACGTAAGGAAGTTCCCACAGGTCAGCACCGGTGGGGGGAGGGCAGAGGAGACAAGCGACTCTGCAGACTGAAGGGTCCCGGGTTCGGTTCCGGTCAAGGGCACGTACCTCGGTTGCAGGCTCCTCCCCGGCCCGGGCCCTGTTCAGGGCTCCTGCAGGAGGCAACCGATTGATGTGTTTCTCTCACATCGATGTCTCTCTCTGTCTTTCCCTCTCTCTCCTACTCTCCCTAAAAATCGATGGGAAAATATCCTCAGGTGAAGATTAACAACAAAAACCCGTGAAACAGGGAAGGGAGGCATGATGAACCTTCGTGTTTTAGGTGGCAAGCCAGCGATGCCAAGAAACTCAAGGACTGCCCGGCCGGTGTGGCTCAGTGGTGGAGCGTCGGCCTATGAACCAGGAGGTCACGGTTCAATTCCCAGTCAGGGCACATGCCCAGGTTGCACATCCCCAGTGTGGGGCGTGCAGGAGGCAGCTGATCCGTGATTCTCTCTCATCATTGATGGGTCTGTCTCTCTCTCCCTCTCCCTTCCTCTCTGAAATCAATAAAACCATATTAAAAAAAAAAAAAAAGAAAGAAACTTAGGACTGTGACTAGGAGCGGGAACTGTTGACACACGGCGGCCGTGTCCTCGGAGGTCAGCCCAGGGCAGGTGGCGGGCGGGCACCTGATATACACACCTTTTCGGGAGAGTAATCCGCACTGAACCCCACTTGGGCCATCTGCATCTGGAAGTTATCGCCTCCTTGCACGGTGCCTGGGAAGTGACAGTTTCCAGAATTCCATCACCGCCAATCATTTTAAAGGAAATTTCCAATCATACACACACACACACACACACACACACACTGCTCCGATGTTCAACCAAAAATATCGGCTGGCAGAATGGCCAGATCACTACAAGAATTCCAACAGACGTGGGAATCCACACTGTTTTTCCAATTTTAAAAGTATACATATTTTAGTACAAATTCAAGAATTTCAGAAACTACATAACAGTGTAAAAAAGTACAACTTTTACAGTTATGAAAACTATTTGCAGTGCAAAAAGGTAAAACTATTTACAATTTTAATAGCTATCGCTGAATCGCCCGGCAGTGTTACACATGTGATCAATGTGATCAATAAGCTGGGCTTCTCCGCTTCTCCATAATCGCTCCAGAATGAAATGCGACTAGCCTTTGTTATCTCTTAAACACCAAGTAACAGGGCTGCGATTCAGATTTTTAGTAATTACTGACATTGGACTATTTTCTTATGTTTACTGGCCATTTGTGTTTTATCTTTTAAAAACAGCTTAGTCATGTCCTTCTCCTCCTTTTCTCACTGACTCCTCAGAGCTCTTTCCCCAGGAGGCACGCGCGGCGCAGGATGCGGACGCGGGACGGACGGTAGGTCCCGGAAGGGCCGGGCGGGGGCTGCGGGCGGGAGGGCGCTACCTTCGATGCTGAAGATGTGCTCGCCGATGGTGCCCGCCTTCTCCAGCAGCGCGGCCTCGTCGGACACGTTGAAGAAGTACCTCTCGGTGGGGACGCTGGCGATCGCTTTGATTTCTTTTATTAGGTTTTTCGTATCGAGGGCATTTCTGTTTAAGTACCCGAGGACCTTGAAAGCAGAGGGAGAGGGAGAAAAGGTCAGAACCGTGGTGCTTCTGCCTCCCTATTCGCACCCCCAGGACCTGGCCCCCTGGAGAGGCAATCCACACCCCACACCCAAAGGACCAAACCAGCAGGAGCAGAAACAGCGCTCAGCCGGTGTGGCTCAGTGGCTGAGCGTTGACCTGGGAACCAGGAGGCCCCAGCCCCATTCCCGGTCAGGGCACAGGCCCGGGTTGCAGGTTCGATCCCCAGTGGGGGATTTGCAGGAGGCAGCCCATCCATGGTTCTCTCTCATCATTGATGTTTTTCTCTCTCTCCTTCTCTCTCTCTGAAATCAACA